CGGGTCAAACTCCTGAGAACTTTGGTGAACGGCCCGGACTTTGGAGCAAGGTCTTATGTTTGTCAAGGGCCCTTAATTGCAAACCCCGACGGAAATACAGGACAGGGTGGGGAAAGTTAATGGCACAATCCCCTTTTTGTGGGTAAGTAGAAATGACTAAACAGAAATGAGGAGGACTTTCGCCATCTGCTTTCACCCCAACGCAAAGCTGACTTGAACACAAACCAAAGAACTTGCAGGCAGAAAGTTGCCACTCAAACCATCGAATCTCAACCGCCAATGGCCTCGACCCTGATTCAGACAACGCCACCGTCTCCTGGGGCTTTACTTGGCAGTCGTGCTCATGTCCCCAAATCACCTCGCGGCGGTGGCAGGCGATTGGCTTGAGCGAAGTTGCACACCTTGGTCTTGGTGTGGCGAACGAATAGGTTGTTACTGTGGATGGTTGCGAAATCCATTTCGCACCACCTAAGAAACCCTGGAATGATGATTCCCTTGCAAATACCAACAAACAATGGTTCCCATGGTTTCCAAGCGGTGCAGGATTTCGTCCATCCACAGTTTATCCCCTGAACCGTCTTTGCAGGGTAGGTTTCATGAAGGGAAAATGATTGAGGATGCTTTCGACTTTCCTGACGTGGGGTGGTCTGTCAAGAAGTTGGTGTGGGTTGCCCTGACTCGTAGAATAAGGTTGCATACCGGACAAAGCCCAGACTGTGAAACACCAGCAGAAAATAAAACACAAACTACCTCATGCGCCAAAGTGCAACGCGAGCAAACTCAATCCAGTGACAAGAGGCATAATCAAGCTGCCACCCCTTAAGATTGGATTTTGCTGAGTAAGCCCTGGCATCCAATGGAGGAGGCAAATGAAAGTTATTCCCAACGTCGCCTTCCTGGACAAATCAAGGGGCTACTTGGATGGTCAACCCACGTCAGGTAAGTAGTTATGAGTTATAATCATGGTTTAATCCAACTAACCCCAGTTACCCCAGCTGTAACCTTGATTGCAACTTCAGTGGAGCAAACGTGTAGATGGTGAACGGGGTTGGGATCAACGCAGCAGCCCTAAACCCTCGTCCAAGAGTCAACTACGAAGGCTTCCCCAAGAGGACATGGGAGAACCAGTGTGTCCCCCGATTTGTGTGGGAGATTTGGAGCTCGTCCCCCCATGTCCCTCCCAAAAGTGCTAGAGACTAACATTTGGAACGAACCATACTGGGCGCTCAAATGGGAGACGCATCCTTGCTAGGCGCCCCGCTATGTTGGGAAACGTGTGCGATCGTGTTGCTTTCCAAACGTCCCTTGCGGAACCATTGTGGAATGGATAACGGTAACATGTCAACTGGGTTGGTCAGTTTGGCTAGGGAAACCACCACTTTCCGAAAGCCTAACATATTTTCCAAATGTCAAAGGTTGAACCTTTGAGCTGTCTTCACGTGTAGTTCGGCCTGCTTCCGGGCTCCCTTTCAAACCTCAAGGGCACCGAACAATCGCGACTCCCCCTTGGCTTCTCAAGCCAAGTCCATTGGCACATTGGCTCAACTCTGACCAAAACGAATCGTCAGCTTCTTCACGTTTTATCTACCTGGAGTCTCCTTGTGACCCCTCAAACATAGGGTGATGCGCCTTTTCTTTTGGGTACTGATCCATTCTTGAAGGCTGGAGATGGATGGAGACCCCAGGCACTTGTGTTTAACACCAAGGTTTTGTGGCACCAGTTGAGTCATAATCAAAATCCGGTATGAAAATGGCATTAAAACGGTATTCATCTACCCGGGTTTTGACCGTTTGCTTTTCTGGGAGTCGTCCCTCCAAAATTTCGCCCGCCGCCAAGTGGCGAGGTCCAGGAAGGAGGGCAGCATCTCCTCGTGGATGCACCTCAGACTCGGAAAATGGATGTCTGAAGCCCAAGCAGGTAGATGCTCCCTATGTGTTCATAGTCTGGTCTCATATTTTGCCTACCCTAAACTTTGGTTCAGGGCCTAAAGTGCAAACTAGTTCTTGGAGGAGATTCCGGAGAAACTGGAAGTCGTAAACTCCGCCGCCCCTTGTGCGTTGTTTATTTGCGCGTGAGAATCCAAACAGCCGGCACCCGAAAAAGTCCATGCAAAAGGTGTGCATTCAAAAAAGCTGAGTCGCATGGAACCGGGTGCTTGTTGATTTGGGATCACCAGTTGCGTAGCTTGCTTGAGTCCAAAACGAGGAAAACCCCAACATAAAAAGTCAAACCAAAGCACACCGGTGTCCGATTCTCGTTGGAGGCCAGCGTCCAACAGAAAAAAACGCGTTTTCGCCCGGGGCCGAAGTGAGCTGAGCTTCTCACTCTCTTTCCACGAAGTCACGGGGGCTGTGGCTTAAGTATCGATGTTTTTTGGATAACGCCTTGGGCCTTTTCACAGGGCAATACCAAAAGGACCCCTCATGTTGACAAACTCACATCAAGGACAGGATTCTCTATATTTCCACTTTGGGTGGCTTTAAACACCACCCTTTGGGCCAAGTCAGTTTCCTCTTGGTGGGGTGGTGATTAAAGAGAAGTTCAGGGATCTTTGAAGGACAACTATGGAAATAGCTGCAGATCCAGCCGAAGAGGAACATGGGATCTCTTGTCAACCCAATGGTTCTTTGCAGCCCTGCCAATAAACAAAGCCAGCACCCGGAAAACGAACAAATGACATACTAAGACGAGAGAAACCAAAGATTCAAAGGTGTCTGGGCCAGACTTCCCCTTGCAAGGACTCACGCAACGGTCCGATAACGTTGAACGGGGAAATCAAGGAAAATCCCCGAAGGCAACATACTACAAAGGCAAGCCAAGTCTGGCAATGGTTTAAGGTCACGGTTGTATGGCGTCCTTCCTTTGGTACGAAGGTGGGCTTTACCTGTGGTGATGCTATCACTTAAAACGGGATCCCCCTGGTCTGTGAACAAGTGGCGACCAAACATTTGTGGTCACTCAACAATGGGGCCCAAGGACCCATGCATCCACCAATCCAAGAAAACCGCTTAGGCGAGATCACCGCCTACGCCAATGGCACAAACGCTGTTGCACCTGAAAAAGGGAATGCCGGAGTAAAGGGCTTACGGAGAATCACCCTTCCTATAAAGGACCGCGCAAACATGTCGCAGCTAAGCGCGCGGGACAACGCAAATAGATCAAACCGATGTGTTTGGGGTGCACATATCCTACCCAGTGGATCCGTAAGCAGTGCTTTGAGGCAGGTCTTCGTTTCGTTTTGTTGTGTTCCCTTGGTCACCTGCTAGGGGAAAATGGAATTTCTGGGCTCTTTGGTGCAAGGTCTCACAGGGCAAGCACTCCGACGCTCGCTTCGGATCTGGTGCCCCCGGCGCCTTGCTGGGCACAGCTCCTTTGTTGCCCTTGTGCCTCGACAAATGGCATCGATGTTTCCAAGGGTGAAGCTGGAGCACCAAAGAGCAAACACAATGCAAGATGTCTCACGCAAGACTCAGGTGCCTATATAGATGGTTCTGGCAGGCCTTGGGAAAAATAGTTTTGTTCCCTGCAAATCTCAAAGCAGGAATTTGAATTGGTGCCTGGGGGTTGCCGAACATGTAGGAGTTCATTGGGTGTCTATTGGAGTTGCCAAATCACTAGAGGATCATTGGAACAGGGTGAAACAATGACTCTGCTTTTGAATTTCATTGGCATGTCATGCCCAGTGAACTACTGGTGTCAGGTTCCATGTTAGACGGAAGGGTACCTGACGTGGGACCCGTAGTGGGCAACCCCATAAACCGGGGGTCTTTCTGGTTTCCCTTTAAGCCAACCCCAAAACGGGTATCCTCGAACAAATAGGGCAACTTGATTTTAAGCAAAGAAACTCCCAATAAGCCTGATGTGGGACCCATCCAAGTAGGGGTTCCGCAAATGAATCAGGCCTGTTCTGGTGCAGGATCATCACGTGGAACCATTTCTCCGGGTCGACCGGAGTCTGGCGGCTTCAGGGCGTTCTTGCGGCGCGAGGGACCGCCTGTTGGAAATCGTAGGTTTAAGCGGCGGGCCGGGGGTCTCAAAGCTTTGGGGCGGCTTACCTTTCCAAAGATATGGACGTGTGGAGCCTTTTCCAACATGGCCCTTCCAATTCGGGTCCGCAGTTCCACATTTAATGCTAAGAGCTTGAAGGTTGGGTGGGGAGTCTGGACACCGCTGTGGACACCTCCCATTTGTGGGACACAACGACCCCCCGAAGTCTGAGACCCTTCAAAACCCCAACCCGGAACTTTGCTGGCCTGTGTTGACCGGCCCGAAATTGTACAAACTGTTTTAGCCATTGGCAAAGCATCCGCATATAGAAGCCTGCCAACAAGATGAGTTTGCCAACTCAAAGACAAGATAAGGGGAGGGACCGCATATTTCTTATAGCTCCCCAGCTCCAGCAACAAGCTGCCAAAAAGGGTGTGATGAGACTGACACATTCCAAATTTGGTGTCAAAACGAGCGGAGGTACCTACTCTTTCCGGTGACGTTTCCGAGCACAGAACCCCCTTCAAGATCCAAGCACAAGCTACTCTCCTGCAAATTAACATGGAACCCACAAAGGTCCCCCAAACAATTAGGAGTTTCCGCTACAAATCATGTGGTGGGTTCAATGTTAATCTGCAGGAGAGTATCGGAGTGTTTTCGGGGGACATTTGTGGGCCACCTTTGAAGGGTCGAATTTCAGGGACTCGGACTGATCCAGCTTTTCGAAAGGAATCTCACAAATCCACACGGAGATTGGCTGGACAATTCCGTGGGAGAAGCGCCCTGTCTTTGAACACGCCTTCCCCTGGGGCCACTGGTATTGTTAATGTCAGAACTGTGTAACACTATCCCTTGAACCTGGCGCCTGACGCGGGGTGTCTTTCCCTTCCAGTGAATGACCATAGGTAACCCAAAACAGACATCCATGGTAAAACCTGGAGGTAGAAGACACGGGCTTCCTAAACATGGCCTCGAAATCCTCAAATCATGTGGCCAGTCGCAGCGCTCGCGCCTCGAAACGGACTTTGCGGCCCTGGCGAACGCACGGGGCGGTCAAACCACGGGGTCACACCAAGTGGAAACCTGTACTTTTAGCGGACCACCAAAGGGACGGCACATTGCTGCAGGGTAATTCCTGCAACAAGAATTGCACCCAGCGACCCATGCCAAGTAGCCGCCAGGGAACCAATTGCGGCATTGGGCAAACTGCGGCAAACAAACCTGCATCCATTTCCCCAATTGCCCTTCAAACACCCCAAGAATCTAGAGGGGGGGGTGTTCCCCTAAAACGCTTGGCTTCCTCTTGCCGTCCCTTTCAAAACCCCACCAAAACGGACCCATTTTGAGAAGGACCTGCAGCCAGCAAACCAACCGAAGCCCAGCCGACGAGCCGAAGGTCCTGGAAGCAGCGGTGCAGCCGCTCGTCCCGGATGTTCCCCAAGCCGTAGATCGCCACCTGCGACCTGCCCTGGCGAGCGAGAAGCGCGAGCGAGCGCGAGCGAGCGCCGGAGCGCGAAAAGCGCCCTGTGCGATGCGCCAATGCGCCCGGACCATGTGGTTTCTTTTGGGTGACTGGCACCGGTGAATGAAAAACCAGCTTTTTGGGGTGGACCAGGTCGTTTTTTTTGTTTCTTTGGCTGGGCCTCAAATTGAACATTGTTGCAGCTTCTCAGCCCCACTGGCCCCGAGGCTGCTTCATACCCATGCCCTAAAATATACATTTAGACCGGAGACGACAGTGAGCAAGGCGGGAAAACGGAGCTGGCCCGAAAGGATTCCTGTCTTTTTTGGATCTATCACTTTCCCTTGTTGTTTTCAAAAGGAAATGATTTCACAAGTGATGGTTCCCAGCTGTCCGGTTCCAGAATGGTGTTTGGGGGGTTGGCACCGGATAGGCACTGAGCGCAGAATCGAGTGGAGGGGCTTGTCTTGGGCGCGAGAGTACCATCTTACCCAGTATAGATGGATACCAAGGTAGTAGGGAAACAGCCAGTCTCCGCTCAATGTTTGAAGGCTGCCTTGGTTGCCTATGACACAAGTAAGTGGAATAACTGGGTGAATTGGGTCTGACTTGGACTCGCCATTTGGTCAGCGAAACAATGTGGAACCCACAAGAGGTCGGTTGGAGTCAGGCTCCCCGCGGCGAAAGATAAAGTGGACCTCAAATTGCCTGCTGAGCATGCAGGTCGAACCTGGAGTCTCCGTGACCCTTCGTTTTCCGCCCTTTTGCCGTGACCCCTTTTTTTTGGGGTCACGAGTGCAAAAAAAGCCCCTCTGGCGCAAAAAGGGGTCACATGCACGATTGTTTCCTTGACGGCCAAAAATAGCGCTGTCAGTAGCTGCAATCATTATGAGTGCGTCAGGGTCTGGCTTTGAACAAGGTAATTATGTATAGGTTTTCTATTGCTGTGACAGGTAGCCTGCTTACTTTCGTTACTGCAAGAGTTGGGCTTACACCAAAGCATGAATCGCTGGGGTAATCACATTTTGCTATTCCAAAGGGGCAAAGCTACAACCGCTTCAAACTATTGCGAGCACAGCAGTGCTCTGGGCACACTCTGTCACGAGCAACGAAGGGGTTAATCTATGCTGGCCAAAGTTGATTGATTTCACACAATGACGACCGCAGGCATGCCAGCGCGAAGCGCCTACTTTGACATGATCTGGGGCACCGCGGCGAACGATATAAAGCAGCGCGGTCGCTCCCACACGCTGGTCACACATGTTCAACGCTATCAGTGCGCCTAGACGGCTTTGCTAGTGAAAACCACCAACCCAGATGTTGAAGTTCAAAGCCGCTGCAATGCATTGGATATACTCAATGTTTCGAAACAGAGCGGTCACTCCGACGCAACGAGGGACGAAGCAACACAGTGAATTCCATGTTCGTAGGCGCGCTCTGTCACGCAAGTGTTTGTTACGCCAATCAAACAATAAACGCACGGGGCCCAGCATTGAGTACGAAGGGTCAACGCCAGCAAAAATCCGTACGTGTGCCGCAAGACTAATTATTGCGAAAAGTTGGTTCGCTCTGCTGTCCTTTGAGGCCAGATGAAGCAGAAGAAGCAATCCCAAGCTTGCTCCCTATCCAATACAAAAAGCAAAAAAGGGTACAAGCTGCTGGACGCGTCCCGGACGGACGGGTTTTTCCGCCTTTTGGACGGCTTTTTTGGGACCATCAAAGTATCCAATACAGAATGGGGTCCAGCTGGACTGGGTGGATGGTGGACGGATGGCGGACGGACGGCGGACGGACGGCGGATGGACGGCGGAGCGCTGATGGAAGGCGGATGAAAGGCGGACAGAGGCTCCGAACAATCTGCCTTTCCGTGGTTGCAACTGTTGAATGTGTTTGGCCGTCAAATCTTAACTTGAGCTGGAAAGTCTTGTAAAGCCAGCGATTCAGATGCCCACAGCAGGCCGGCTGTAGATTTGCATGAGAAGCCCGTTTCAAGCGGTTGATTGCCTAGAGGTGGCTCCAAATGCGCACATTTGTGGATGGAAGCAATTAATCTTCCTTACGAGCATGTATCCTTTTGTAGTTCTAGCCTTGGTAACTTTCTTTGTTCTTCCCGAACCCCCGCAAAGCCAGAAAGCACTTTAGAGCCAAGGCCGCGGGCAAACAAGCGCTACAGAACTCTGACGGGCGCTTGCTTTCTTGAAGCAACTGTCTGATAGCATGTTTGGCGCGTGCCAGCTCGCCCTTGAAAACGTACCCTGTCGCCTGCAAGCACAAAACTTAAGTTTTGTGTCAAAGTAAGGGACATGCTCATCTGCTTCTTGGCACCAGCCTGCGCCACCATGTCCGCATACTGTGCGTCTGCGTATTAAGCAAAGCTTGAATATCCTAGTGCTTACAGGCAAGCTTGCGGGCTTGGGCAAACGCTGTTGATGAATGCAGATTCAGGCTGCGCCATCGCCTTACGTGAAAGAAGACGCTTGTCAAAGCAGCCCGTTTGGTCAGCATACCTTAAAGAAGCTGCATCGAGTTACCGCAGTGTGATGTTGTTTCTCGTTTTTAGCAAAATGTCTAGTCAGCGCAGAACCCAAAAAAGGGTCACACTGTAGCGAAACTGAATAAAACGCCTTTTCGCAAAATAATGCCATTTTGTTAGTGTGACCCCAAAATTAAAGGTACAATGGAGACTCCAGGAAGTGCTAATTTCAACTGAGCGCGTTGATCGGTCCTAACACAAGCATGAAGGATTGCATGAAGGATTGACCCAACCCCCTTTTGTCGCTGTTTGCACGGAGTCCCCTTTTAAGGGTGCTCGAAATTATTCTTGATGGGACTTTCATTCAATCAAAACTCGACCAACCTGTCGGGGTTGGGGCAAGTGGATAATATCCCGTCAACGAGTCCCCCCCACTCGGGATTTCCCCCCCAAATAACTTGGCTCAAGTTCAGCCCTTTTTCCTTTGCATCTAAAGCATCTGGCCGAACCATCATTTCAAAGGGAAAGACATACGATACCAAAGGTCTCAGCTACTCGGGCTTACCGCCCCCAAACCAGTGCCCCGGCCTTAGTGAGCAGCAGTGGGCGGATGACAATGTCCTGAGAGTTGCAAAGGATGGCTCTGGGCAAGAAATCACATGCGTCTGATTGGTTGAGCATATCCAACAAAAACAATTCACAGAAACAAATAGCTAACGAAGTCCACTGGGACCAATTCAACTAGCTGGGTGTGTCTCAACACAAGGAAACCACAAGTGGTTTCCGTGTTGATTGCCTTGAAAAACAAGAGAAAAGGGGAACCCCCTCAAACATGGGCACGCCCAATTCACTTAGGACACCCTCCCACCAAAAAACACAACTTGTTTGGAAGGGCTTTCGGAACCCCGCCGGTTGGGTTCCATGCTCACATGTGTTGGTTGCTGGATCTTATCCAACGAAAACAACAACAAAAGGAAGCCAAAACGCTGTTGTCGAGGAAACCACTCTGAGACCCCGCTGTTTTTGGCCATATATTCGTTGCTCAGGGGAATAATTCCATACTTTTTGTTGCGAAATTGGCAAAGGAAAGGAAGTACGCCGGGATTGAAATGGCGTTTGGGTTGAATATCGAGCGCAAATTATTTTTGTTCTGGGGCCTTCGTGATGGGTGAGCTTGGTTGAGCTAAACACAATCTTGAAGTGGGGGGTGGACCCTTGGACTGACCAAACCCATGCATATGACTAGAACAAACAACGATCCATGTGTTCCGGGGCACATTTGCGTGAGTCATGTCAGTTCACCCCAAAGTAAGGGCCCAGAGCCTCCTAACAAGGGTACCCTGGAGGTCTGGGTCAGTGCAGACCAGCAGTCTCCCTTGTGGCGTGTCCACGCCAACTACTGCATCCATTTGCGGATACGCCCCCGTGAGTGATAGATTCCATTGACAACAAACAGGGGAAATACACAATATTCTGAAGCAACTGGAGGAATGACAAGCAAAGAACACCTTTTTGCCCCTTTGGGCATTGTCCTGAAGTGCACTAAATCGGCGCCTGAAGAGCTTCCCAGAGGCCCGCCCAATCACTTTACTATAAGTGTCTTTTACTGGTAACTGAAGCTAGGGGACCTAAAATGCATGGTTTCTTGGGATAGCTTTTAAAGAAACACGTGGAGCGCAAATCAAGAAGAGACCAGCTATGTTGGTCATGCAACATATGACATAATAAAACAACAAACATGAGCGATGGTTCGAACAGTTAGTCAAACAAGGTATACGTTGTTGATATTTTTGTTCAACTATTCTAAACATGTTCACCATGTTTTAACATAAACCTCAACAAGGCCTTTGCCACGCCAACCCCAAGCAATCACCGAGCCTCAGCAGAATACAACTCTCCAACCGAACTTCTCGCAGCTCTGGTCCTCCCGAAAAACAAACTTCTTGACTCTTGACTGTTTGTCCTAGCAGATTTTCAAAAGCCATGGGGATGGCTCGAATTCCTAAACCAGGCAGGAAGAGAATTCCCTTTGGTTTCCCCAATGTCTCACTTACAAGTCAGGGACATCTCAACGTCAGCGATGGCCATGTGGCTGTGGGTCAAAACCAATGGTACATTCTGGGGCAGGGTGCACCACCCATTTTAGTTTACTTTAATGGGGACTGGGGGTACGATTTGGCTTTTGACCCATGGCCATGAGATTGCTCGAATGTTAGAATTCCATTTGCATCAGCCCCCTGGAAAACATGAGGACATATTTTCAGTAGCTTATCTCACTTATCTCCGTTTAAAACCAACAAGGGACAATAGACCCATTTGTTTAAGCAAAATTAAGTGGGCGCCAAGAAGATTTCGAGTCCCTCAGTCCGCCTCCAGATCCTCATGCCGCCCAAAGTAGTTGCACAGCCCCGCCACCTGCAGAACGGTACATCTGTGCGTCGTGTTTTGCGGACCATTTTGGGGTGGGGAAAAACTGGGAACTCAACACCGAAGCCATGTGGCCATGGGTCAAAAGCCAAATCGTACCCCCAGTGAACATCCCAATAATTGCTCCCCACTAAAATAGATTCTAAGATGGGTGGTGCACCTACCGTTAGTTTTGACCCACCGCCATGTAGGTCTTTGACACCTACCGTCCCACAAGGAGCTTGGCCGGCACCCTCCACATGGAAGCGCCACCCAACTCGTCTGCCAGGTGAGTGGCCGAGGCCAGGTTCAAGCACTCCCCAAAGACTCCTTCCTCAGCCCTGGCCTGGGGTACATACGGGTGTCTCAGAATAGGGGAACCCCCCAAAATGGGCGTGCTTTCCTGTTCACGTAGGTCATGATGTGGCTTTGGCGCTGGCTCCGAACCGAAGTCTCCAAATTACAAAACCATTCTGGTGTAGGGTAGACTAAATGGGTGGCTCGTCTTGTTTTCAGGGTACCAGTACTTTTTCTGGGGGTGGTTTGCCGAAACATTTGTTGGTTGCAAACCATGTTCACGTCTTTTCCGAGTTTCTGACAGCCCGTTTGAGCACTTCTTAGGGAAACCAAACTGTTGCCATAGTTTGTTGGAGTATTTGTTTCATTGATGGGCCAAAGCAACAATCATGCACCCCAGGTACCTATACCTGCTGATGCTTCATAGTCCGCACTGCGCTGGCCGCACTGCGCTGCCCCTACCCGGCCGGCCTCTAAGAGGTTTGCAGCGCACAGGTTGCTCTCCCCGCCAGGGTCGTCGTGATTCCCGTGGATCATGAAACTGGCGGAGGCGCTCCCTACTTGCTTGTTCCACCCACATCAGGTAGGTTATAGTTCGTTGTAACAATGGCTGTTTATGCCAACTAAACCGCAGTGCCCCACCTTTGTTAGCAGCGCCCCGGCTATAACCTTGATTATGAGTGATAACCTTCTTAGGGTTGAACATCCCAGTCATTTGAGCGAGGGTCCACCCCTGAATGAAATGAATCCACACGATCGGATTTGGGCGACTCAATGGCGCCGGGCGCCACAAGGGGCACTCCACGTTGAGGTTCGGGTCCTGGCGCGGAACGAAGCTTGGTCAGTCAGTGACCCGAAAGGCGGAAACTAAATGGAACCCTTTTTGGCTTGACGCTTCTGGATGCGAAATCCACCAAGCAAAAGAGGAACAGTTTAACTGGTGCCACTGAACAATAGGGTAAGCAAAAGAACAGAGGTGTCACTGAAAACAAACAACAACACAACCGCACCGGGAGATGCCGGGCCACTGTGGTGGACTTCCCTCCGCTCGCCTACCCAGAGGGCTCCTGGGGCTCACTATGGGGGACACAGGGTTCCCCAGAAAAAAAAAGAACAACGAGTTGCGTTTGGGGTCTCAAAAGAGGTTGCCTATTTTGCAGGCAACAAACTCCATCGACCACACATAAGGGCCTTGGGGTAAATTAGCGTCAATATAAACATTTTGAAATGCTCTGCCCAAAACAATATACATACTCTCAGGGCGGCCGCACGTATTTTTGGTTTGGACCTTCAAGGAAAGGCCCTTCAGGCCCCTCCCAAAAACCAAAAGCTACGGCTGGGAGGTGCCATCTCACTTTTGGCTAGCTAGTGGTAGAACATGGTAGAACCCAACAACAAAACTTAGAGGTGTTCGCGGAAGAAGGTTAAAGGTTAAGCATAGAAAGTCAAAGGTTTCGTGGTTCAACGTCAACGGTTGAACCGAAGATCAACCGCGCAACTTATTCGCCTGGTAGTTCACGATGCCGCTCGCAAAGCAGGCGGGATCGCTGACCACCTGGCTTCCCCTTGCCGGCTCTCCTCCCCTCCCAATTTGGTCATCGCGCCCAAAAAATGGACCCCAGGCCAATCCTGTTTTACCAAAGAGTACCATTCATGCATGAACCCCTTGATGGGCTTTAGAGGTCACCTTCTGGGAACATCCAAGTGGGCCTGTTGTTTTTTCAATGTGTATACGGTCCATTTCATTTCTGCCCAATGAGTTCTGGGTGTTGCAACCGTTCAAACTCATCACATGATCCCAAGGATTCCAGGCCCCGTTCATTGTATCCTGTGCCCACTTGCTTACAAAGAGCAATGGAATCACCGCGACATTTCGGAAACCGTGCCTTTCCCTTCAGGGTTGCTTTAAAAAAAGGCGTTGATCCCCGGTATTTCGGGAAACCAAAGGAAACTGTTGACCAATTCTCTACTGCAAACTCCTAAATGAAAGGGGAAACTTGCGGCCAAACTAACAGTGGGGGTTCCAGGCATGATGTCCATCCGGGGTTGGGAATGAACCGTGAGAGATCTCGCTCCCTCATTCCATGTGCTCAAACTTGAGATTTGACAATCCCTGCGAAGCCCATGTGTGCGGAAAAAAAAGGCCTTCGAGCAAAAAGCACCAAATGTTGGTCGCTGTTCGGAAAAAAGATCGTCGTTTGGAAAGACATGTATTTTTGCGGAAAGGTAGCCTGGCTCATCTAAGATTTCGGCTCTCCAAGATGCACTCTACCCACGAAACTCCCAAAAAAGGTCGACGTTTGGAAAAATGCCGTCTCATGAAAAAAACCGTTTTTTCTCGAAAAGACAGAAAAAAAGACACGCAAACGGCTTCACAGGTCCCAATCCACATCCCTGACGTGCAAGGGGAGCCTTCACCCAAAACAAGGAGCAAGGATTGCCGTTCTTCACTAGGCGTACCAAGCCTTCTGGTTTCCCTCTAGACTTTCCACTCACTTCCTGAGTGGATTGGCAAAGAACAACAAGTTCCGAACTTTGTTGCTTCCCACTTTTGTCATGGTTCAAGCCCCAAAAGGTCTAAAAGTTCTCATGGCCCAAACCCAAGTCCATCGTTTTCATGGTCCCCCCAAAACCTCCAACGTTTCCACGGTCCAAACCCCAAAAAGTCGAAGCTCCGACACCGGGACTCGTCACCGGCTCATCCCTCCGTCGCCTCGAAGGCCACCTGAAAACGCTTCAGCTTATAAGGCGGCGACGTCCGTTTCGGGTTGCGGCGCCCGTTTCGCGTCACGAAGGCCATGGGAATCAAATCATTCCCTTCGGGGTTTCTGAGTTCGGTGAAATCGATGGATGTTGTGAAGCCGTCGATGTCGCGGTCTCCTTGAACCATTTTTTGACGCCATTCACAAGAAGCCATAAGATGTGTTGCTATTTACAAGGGCAATGGTGCTTCTAGTGGATTTCACAAATATCCACAGCATTGCCCCCTCAATTGATCTTCCAGGCACCTCCCAGGTGCCATGTTTGTGGGAGGAAGGGTACCATGTATACAACAAGGTCACAACTATGAGACTAACATGGCGAAAAATAAAAGCCCCTCCTCCACCACCTACACGTTCAACAAAAAATATCTACCAACATTTACTTGTGTGCTGTTTTAGTGTCATACTGCCCAATGTGGGTAAGTTAAAAAGCAAAGGCTAAAAAAACATCTGCTAAGTTTGCAGTCTGAGTCATTGTATATCCTCATGTATTGGTTCGTCTCCAATAGGGGAGCCCCAAACTGGTGGCTTGTTTGGCCTGTGTTGTTTGATGGCCCCCCGAAAACAAATGCTTCAGAGATATACAACACAAATTGCCTTCTCAGCTTGAAAAGCTTTTGCACATCCCCACAAACACATCCCCAGGACACTGGGGACTAAATCAGGTTCCATGTTACTTCCTGCAAACTACGTATGGGGTTTACTAGTCATTAGTCTGGGGGATAATAAGTTATCACTGCCCTATTTGTCATCAGCTCTTCATTTATGGGGGTATTTGTTCGTGGCTATGCATGTTTGATTAGATAGCTTCCCAAATGATATATGCTATCATGAACCCCATTAACACATAAACACCATTGCCAGAAATCAACGTATCTCGGCTGCTCATATGTCCATTTTAAAGGAATGCAAGAGACAGCCCTATTTAGAGCGAAACCTATGAGGCCAAACAGCTCCTCGTTTGGGATTTCATAACTGTGAGTCTGTTAGTTTGGTTTGCACGGAAACCACATCAGCGGGTTTGCGAAATGTGAGTCTGCAGGATAGGATGTGCGAGACCCTGCTCCTCTCCCATTCTAGCAGCGTGGGCCAACATTGGTTTCAACACCTGGATCCTTGTCGCGTCGCCTTTCGGAAACCAAAAGAAGGTTTTAAACAAGGGGTGCTCAAACACGCAAGGAGTTGGCCCCACCCTTTCTAGGGTCTAGGGGTGGATGCACCAGGGGCAAACAAACCCAGTTGAGGGGAAACCTTCCAGCCGACAAATCCTGACACTGGAAATCGGCCTTCTGCTGAGGTGGGATTCCCGTTGTCACTTGAAAGTATTCACTTGGTTGACCTGCTTTGGGCCAGAAAAACGCCCCTAATTTGTTTAGGCCTTGACTATGACGAAGAACGCAACCAACCCAACAGTTCACTCAGTCCAACTCAGGTAAGTCTTTGTCTGTGGATCCGCTTTACAACCCTTGCTTCCCAAAGGCCGTGGGCTTAGTAACCCTGTTGAAACAGATACCCGTTGAGGACCCTGTTGAGGAGCCTTCCCCCGCTTTAAGTTGGCATCGCCCCCAAATGGTTGCACAAGACCATTCCGAATGTGATTCTCACTTCAACGCATGGATTGGCAATCGCCAAAAGAGGCAATACTTAGCAGGCATCGCCCTCATGGGAACGCTGGTGCGGGACTCTCCTGAGTGCATTGGCAATCAGCAAAAGTAACGACATGTTTCGGGGAACCAGCAATAACAGCTGCCAAAATATACGAGTAGGAAGCATCTCTTGTGTCTGTGCGTGTGTCGAATATACTGCTGGGCGCAGGGCGTGACCACAGGGAAGTGCTTTGCTCCGGAGTTCTGTCTGACGATACATATCAGGGGTCATGCATGACCAACCCCCATTTGGATGACCACCCCAGTTCGCGAGTGGCTAGTAATGGTTAATATCCCCACCTAACAAGCCCAAGTGGGTTCTATCTAGGTGGGTATGCAGGGCAAGTCTCAGCGAATGGGGACTTAATTGGGGATATGCACTGCTTATTTGTCGTGGAGTGGTCATCCAAGTGATTGGGGTGAAAGTAGACGGCCAGCCCCAACTATACAGATGTGCCATCTACTTTCACCCAACTGCCAATTTAAACATATATCATTTTTTGGGCCAATTCTGGCTGATCTCCATACAATTCCCCCTTTTTGCGCGGGTTTCCAGGGCAACCAAAAGGACACCATGAAACCGGGCACCCACTCAGGGGAGCTCCGATCCGCGAGCCGGCCCGGGCCCCCCACCTCTCCCGAGCCCAGGGTGTACTTTCGCAGCAGGTCCATGGTGCGGTAGAGGCAGCCCCTGGGAGGATCCCATCGGATCCCAGCGGATCCGAGCAACACCCCCCAAGAGAAACGAAACAAAAACAAGCAGACAAATGACCCGTCTAGCCTTCTCTGGCAACTGGTTTGCCCCCTGTTTATTCTGTGGCATGTTTGGAAACTGATTTGGACAAGTGTGTCTCGTGTATTCAGGCCTTGTGAACTTCTCGCCCTCGAAAGCTCCCGAGGGGTTGTGGGGTCCCCAACGCTCCCAAAGCCCCGGGCAATGCCGGGTAAACCTACGCCGATCTGGGCCAAAGACTGCCAAATTGCCAGAATAGTTGGCCAAGTTTCCAAATAAGGAACTTGATGCTGGTGGCTAGTGGTTTTGTCGGGACGGCCCACAACGAGACGCGGCATCCTTCGTTGTACCAACTGGCCAGACATACAGGAAGGATTTGATTTCTTGAAATGACAAGGCCTTGCAAAACAACCTAAACAGGGGACCATCAAACACTATCTATCTGTCTAGCAAGCAAGCGAAGCGAGGCGAAGTGAAGCAAAGCAAAGCAAAGCCAAGCAAGCAAGCAATCAACAAAAGAAAGAAAGAAAGAAAGAAAGAAAGAAAGAAAGAAAGAAAGAAAGAAATAAAGAAATAATGAAAGATGGAAAGATTGAAATAAGCATACAAACAAAGCACATACAAAAGAACCAATAAACAAACAAACAAACAAACAAGCAAACAAAGCAAGAAAGCAAGCAAGCAAGCAACCAAGCAAAAAACAACACAAACAACAAAAAACAAAGCCTGAACCGGGTATGACACTGAGTGATTTAGCCGTGCTACACCAGCGGACCGCGCCTAGAAGGCTTGTTCTCGTGGAAAAGGTCCCCGCCTGAGCCAGTCGCAATGGGACCAAAGCATTGAGGGTTGGGCCGCAGCCGGGTCTTCCGATGTGTGTGAAGGGCCCCAGAATTGCGGTTGGGCCCCAGCTGAAAAATCCCTTCATGGATCCAGGCATTCGCACTGTGGAGGGCACCACTTTGAAGCCATGGTTGAAACCATTGTTTGTTGTAACTACAGGGGAATCGAATCATTCCAGGGTTTCTTAGGTGGCGCGCAATGGATTTCGTTCATCAGTATGAGGTGCCCTATTGGGATTGGGGGGCCTTTTCGGTTGGCCCAGCACGACCATATAGGAGGTCTGGCTGTTTGAGCATATCTTGCGTGATTCTGCCCCAAGCCGCGAAGCCTGCTGAGGCATGACCAAATAGACAAAACCGTCCTCCCATGACAAAACCAGCACTGGAGATGTACACATAAGACGAGAAACCGGAGCAAGCTGAATTTCACCAAGCATAGCCAGAGGCAAGGTGAAACCAGGGTCTTGGCTTTGCAGCTCTATTGGTTTTGGATGGATCCGAGTCGAGCGGATGACTCAATGGGCCTTCTCCAATGCAGCGACCTATGTCCATGAGTGTGTTCACTTGGATAATTTCTGGATGCATGAGGTCAGAATTTGAACTAAATAGCTTAACAGTGGGATTGGAAGGCCTCAAGTGTTTGGGACCCTGAGCTAGCATCCCTGAAATCACCTTCAAGGGGGGGAAACTTCTAATGCAAAACCTAGCCTGCAAGCCCAGTTTGGATGGCGAAAACAACACCATTTTTATTTTTTATTTTTTTTATTTGTTTAATCTTCGCCACCAAAAGGGTCTGGCCAATCCAGGATTTGAGCTTCGGCTTCGAAAAGATCGGACGCAACCCTGTACTCGACTCAACCGAACTTTCGCGTTCCGAGGATCCATGGAGGATGAGGTCCGCTTTGCTGGACTTGCCGATCTGCAATGCCTCCTATTCCGCACCGAGAATTGGATTGGGGCCCTTTTTGGCTGATGCCCTATCTGCACGAAGCCACAGACAGAAGCTGCTCAAACACGCCCGAGAAGCTGCTGGCGAATCCTTCCGATTGCTGCTGAAGGTAGCTCAACCCACTTAAGAGGTGGAACGCATCGTTTGCAGTAACCAGCCCAAGTCGCCCAGGTTATAACCTTGGTTGTAAGCCACTTACCCTTCCACCAATTAACATGGAACCTGACGTGGGGGGGGGGGGGTTGAAACACCGTATTATTTTAAAGGGACCCTCTGTCAGATTCCATTGGTGAGAGGGTACCTGGGTTGAACGTGCAGCAGGCAAGGGCCTCGGCACCATGCCGCTTTATTCCCAACGCCTTTTCCCTCTTAGACTCTTGGGTGTGTCTTCTTCAAGGGGGCCCCCAAAATGGTGGTTGTCCGTTTAGTGCCTGTTGAAAACGACAGAAAAGCGGATACCCTCAAAAGAAGACACACCCTCTTGTACCTTCTTTAGCCGTCACTTTCTTCCGCCATCCCAATTTGAATAAGTTTGTGTGCGGCGGAGGTGAGGGACACTATAGGGAGTCAAACTCCGCACCAACAAGCATGGGTACATGCTTGAGCTTTCGGCCCTGTTAGCAAGAGCTGAGTACGAGTAAGCTAGTCTACAACCGACTTGGCACTTGGTTGACCTCACTTACAAGTCACAGATTTGTAAGTGGGGTAGAACCAGGTTTCGTGGCCATTCTGGTTGGTTTGGTGTGTCTCGGAATAGGAATTGGAGCCCGAATATGGCAAAGGATTCCTTTCGGACTCCCTTTAAGCCGATCAAACAGCTTATCAAGTTGGCCACAAGTATCTGGGAAAAAGTGTATTCCCAAATCGGTGATACGGGATCTCTAAGTAAGGAACCTTCATCACGGGCGGGTTCGTGTTGCAGTGAGTGCGTCTGTTGTGAGGCTGCAATTCACCGTTTGGGTTGATTTAAAGGGAACCCACCCCCCTTTTCGGGGTCCCCTCATAGGACGAACCCAAAACTGACTTTCTTTGGGTTTTCAAGTGGAGCCTTAGTTAGTGTTTTGGATTCCTTTTTGGGCTGCGCGATTCGTGTGCAATCCGTTTGATCAATCGAACACCTATCCTTCGATCTGTCCAGCCCTATCAGCATTTAAAAGGGCCTCAAAAGCGCCTGGTTTTGAGGTCCAAATCCTTCCAATGACTAATTCTGAGAATGCTGCAGCGTCCAATGCTGGGAGCAGTCCACAAACCTACACTCAGCCCAGTGGATTTCCATGGGAAACATAGGGCATCCTTTTTTGGGTTGGTTGAGTTTAAAGAGAATTTTCCCACAAAAAGTTGAAAAAAGAGGCGGAATCCACTGGGCAAACCATCGAAACAACGGCTCCTCCAAGGTCTCCATGGAGTCCTTCCCGCGGACCTCCAGAAACCCAAAGCGCGTCCGAATCGAGGCTAAGCAAACATGGAAGCAGGGAACGCGGCTCTTTGGGGTTGGCTTTAGGTGGACTTGTTGGCGGGCTTCCATTTCTTGAGGCGAATCCACGTGAAAATTCGGGGGAAAATGACAAGAAACAAACAATTTGGATGGGTTCGAAAATCCCATTGCACCGGGGCTGCTTGATGGTGCCAAGGAAGAAGGGGCCTGACTTTGGAGGTCCAATTCAACCCGTTTCGCTTTATTTCTTCAATCGTGTAAAAAACTAAACCTGCTGACGCTTCCAGGCCATCAGAATGGTTCGCGGTTTTTGTCTTACCGAAAACGACCCTCCTTCCCAAGGAAAGCCGGTAACATCTATGTAGGTGCCCACGCCTCCCGTACGCAAAACAACTTGCACCTGTATCCTCAGCGCTTTGGGACATTCAGCTGCATACCTTGAATGAAGCGCAAACTCTGATGCATACGGAACCTGCAATGGTTAATCAGTGCAATTCGTAATGTGCGGACCTCAAGTATTGGCTTTGCTCGGATCGCTTGGTGAGTCGGTTAGTTGGTTGGTTGGTTGAAGTGAGTGAACTGGTTGGTACCAATGCGCCGGAGCCTGGCAAACTGCTATCTGACATGACCTTACCCCGCCCCGTTTCAACTGCATGTTGGCTCCCGTTGTTGTTTCGTGCTACGCAGGTGGCTCAGAGTGTCAAATTGAGTTCCTTCCGCCACGCATTGATCCCGGATCTTCCCCAAAGGGGCGGTTTCTTCACCCCCAGGAATCGGAGGCCACATCTGCTCAAGCTCCGCTTTCTATGGAAGATGTCTCCCTCCAAAGAACCGGGCCGGCACCTGTGCCAAGATACTGTGCAACGAATCGTGAAAGTCGTGCTCGCCAAATAAAGCGGTGCACTGACGCTAAGCATTTAGAGGACCATCATCGGTGCTCGCTCGTTTTAAACCCACAGAGCGGTGAGCTCGAAATCAATACCCAGTGGATTACCTGTATAGTAGGCAACCAAGGGGATCACCCTCTAAAAACCCAAAAAAGAAAACAGCTGGTTACTGGGCTTACCTAGGATCCACTGCGATAGGCAAATGATTGCTGGTTGGTTTCAGGGCCACTGAATGCTCGGACGGTTCCCACCCCAGAGCCCTAGGGCCTTGTCCTTCTCATTGAAGCCAACCTAAGCGCAAAGATGTGGAAAGGCTCCCAAAACCACCTGGGTGCATGGCCCAGCTGATAAATGGTGAGTGACCTGGGTTTTCACTTGCTTGCAAGTCGGTTAAGACGACTTGGGGGCCTGGGGGACTTAGACATGGGTTCTAACATTGGCTTCTCACCGCCTAACTTGGATGAACACCCCCCCCCTTTGTAGCCTTCTTCCCAGGTGAACAAGACTCAGCCCCGGTAATTATGCCCCGCCAAGTTCGGATCACAGCATCCGGAACCCTTCAAACTCACACCATCAACAGAAACAATTATCCAAAGTGGAGGTTTCTTAAAGTTGGAACCCCAACAACCCATGCAACGAACAGAAATTGGACCATGGAGTTTCTCCACATAACCTTTGCCGAGATTCCGAATCCAAGGTGGGGGGGATGAACCAAGCCCTCACTCCCATTACCAACTCATAGGGAACCCTACCGCGATTTTAGGGAGCCCCCCGAAAGAAGCGCGGCCCCTTTTCCGTGATCATTTGTGGGTGACCTTGAGGCCCTGAGCATCAAGGCTTTCGGCAGAGTCAAGGACCCCTGGTCTTTTTATCAACCCCAGGTTATTAATAGGGGGTGGGGACCCCTCCAACAGTGCTGATTCCCCACTACACCCACCAACATGCCCTATTAATAAACTGGGGTGGATTAATATGGGGTCAACATTATAGGCTTCACTACCCCAAAAGTAACAGTTTGTACACCGAGCGCGGCCGATGGGAATTGGTTTTGGGCACTCAACTAGCAAGCCCAGGTGGTCTCTCAACAGTTGTCGGGACCCGGAACCCTTCAAGAACCCGAAAACCAGAGCTTGTCTGACCCCAAAGCCTTCAGCTGTTTGGGGAAAACGTGAAAAATGGTACATGAGATTAAGCTGCTGAATGTTAAAAGAGGTCCACTTGCAGGTCTGCCTATGACCTCTACAGAAAGGGACCACCTTCCACTGACAACCTTTACCAAGGGTCAGAACATTTCTGCGCCAGCTACCAAACTGGCTAGCAAAGCAACTGCATCACGGGAAAACTTGTTGTACTCACAAGTCAGCTCGATACAAGTTGCGAAGATACTTCCCTGCGAAATGGCAAGCATTGCGCAAGTGGGAAAACCCTTCCATGGGCACGAGTCAACAGAAATCTATTTGGGTGTTTGGCACAGTCCGCAAGCGGGCAGCAATCGAGATAAAAACCTCACCTGTAGCCAGGTTTATCTCCCTCAAGGGACATACAAGTGAGTTTCAACTTCAACCTAACTTGGGCACGCATGCTGAACAGGGCCTGGAAAAAGCGCTCGTTGCTCAGTTGTACCAAATAACAAAGGGCCCCCCGCAGCCTCTGGTTCCACCAGAAATGTAAGCCCTTGAGCCTTGCCTTCGGACCAAGAAAACAACCATCAAACGGCTACGGCTCCTTTTGTGCAAGTCCAAACAGCTCGGCCCTCTTCAGCGGCCCACGAGCTTCTGTGCTCTTGTTCGAAGCTTCTTGGCTGGCTTGACTGCCGGCAAATGCTTCAAGCGCCATGTGTGGTTGCGCCGGTGGAAGTGGTCCACAAGGCGACTGTGAAGGCATTGGACCACGGCGGTCGCGCGTTCTTGCGCTCTTGCAAGCACTTCCACAGCTTGCATGCGTTGTCATACCCCATGGTAGCAATGGACAGGTTGCGGTCCTTGTTGTCTGTGATGAATCTCAGGAGAAAGTCAGTCTAGGTCATGCAACATGGGTTAAACAAAAACATAGACAACCAGCAGTTGCTTGTTTATGTCAACTTCAGACTAATCCGGAGAACCTAATGGAGGTAGCGGAGTGCTAAACAAATAGCAAAAGGTTTCTAGGAGCTACATGTGTGGACCCATGCAGCCACTTGTATTACCATCTTCTGGCTAGAGACCACAGGTGCATAGTTTAAAAATCCCCCAAATTGCGCAGGTGAGCCACAAACAACACAATGGTAGCCTCAGGTTAGAAGGGGACAGTCCCAACCAGAACTAGGTTCGTCCTCCCTTTGAATTCTGTACATGGCTGTGACGTTTTAATGGGGAAACATGGGGAACCCTAAAGATAAATCCCCGCCATGATGTTTATGAGAACGTCCCCACGTGGATTTTGGTAGACCCTGAAGTTCAAACCACCATTCAACACAATGGTTGGGTTAAATATACCACCATTGTCACCATTGTTTGCCTAATGTTGACCAGAGGTTCATCCCTGGGTTTGGTTTGGGTTCATCACTTTTGGAGTGAACACCCTTCTATTCATGGGACTTGTTTTTTTGGAAGCAGCTTCATCATCTAAATAGGTCCTTTACTTGAAGCCCTGGGGTAAACCTGGGTAAGGGTTGTCATTCGCCACAATTCACCCCCCTGGCAGGCCTAGCTCCTCCGAAACCAAATCTCAGAGCCGTGGCTGTGCTAGGACAATCAACCAGGGGACAATTTCCTTTTGTATGGGTAGTTTGAGGGTCCAGGTTCTAGCCAAGGTAATAACGGTTCTAACTAGGGCAACAACTGGACCATGGTGACACCTTACTCCCTATGGAAGCTCACAGAAGGGCTGAGCAAATATTCCTAATGTTGACCCAAAAGAAATCGACCCCGTTTATCAATGGGGGGGGGTTGTCAACCTGGGTTTAGTGGAGTTTCATCACTTTTGGACGGGAACACCCCCTATATGAATAAACTGGGGTGGATTAATCCGTGATCAACACCATCCACTTCCATGATTGATTGGACAAAGGCCAAGTGGCAGGGTTGATCAATATTCCGTTCGGCCCCATGACCATGGGCAACTTTCCCCTTCAGTGAAAGTCGGATCTTGCCTTGGTGGCGTCCCTAATTTTGATCCCATGCTCATCGGATCTTTTGATCAACCAAGTGGGTTGAACATAGTGGGCGTGTCTTTTTCGAGCCGTGTTTAGAAGCTTAAGAGCGAAACCAAACGGTCAACCCAACCTATTCTTTGGGCCCCAAACAGAGACATGTACATGGACAAAATCCTGCACCACCTAGATAAGAAACCATGGTTGAAACCACAGCGTTGCTGCTATTTACGTTGGGGAATCGAATCGGTCCGATGGGTTCTCAATGGTGGTGTGAAATGGATTTCGCACATCCCTCTTTCGAATATAATATACCTCATTGTTGGTGGCTTAAAAGGAAACAGGAACACCACCCATATTTTTCGCCCCCCCCCCCCTAAAAAGAGAGACACTTGGGTCTGCCTTTTTGAGGACTACCCCCTTTTTGGGCGGTTTTAGAGGGAAACCATCAAGAAAACCGCATTCTTGTTGGGCCCCGCAAAAAGAAGACAAAGCCATACCTTAAGTGAGTCACAATCAAAACCTGGTATAGAAAGAGTCTACCCAAAGCAACGCAAAGAACTACAGAGGTAGGCCGCAAATGATTCTGGCCGAGATCTTCCCCTCAAATGCCCAGTGGCCATGGACAAAAAAGGGCATCCTTTTGTGGTTGGTTATTCCCCAAAAAAAAGGTTAAAAAAAGGAAGCACCCCACTGGGCAACTGGGATTCTCCCTTACTGACCTTCATCATAGTCCCCGGGTGTTGATGGTCTCAAGGGCGTGTGAATTATAATAAGCGGTTCTTTGGTGGACATCGTTTAGGTGGGGATTCATGTCCACCAATCACTTTTGAGGTGGTTCCCTAATACAATTCATGGCCAATTGTTTGCCGCTGACCCCCTGCAAAAAGTTTAACTTCTTGGGGAAAGATCCAACCCAATAGCAGTCAAGTGAAAAAGCTGGGAGAACCTGGCGTGGGTGTCGGTGAGCACCAGGATCCGCAGGGTCTCGGAATCCGGGAGCTCCTCCTGGCATCCATCCGGGAGCTTTTTCCAAACATGTAGCCCCCTGGTGGTTGTTTTGGTGTGAAAACGAAAACATGGGTGTGGGTCAAGACATTTATGGGTGTGTTTTGTTCATGTATAATGAATATTATTGTTGCTGTTATTATTTACTTTTCATGAAAACATGGGCCACCCCAAGTGGAACCAAGGACTAAACCTCCTATGGTCCATATCCTGCTGGTTGAGTGTTGACCAATACCCATGTGGGGGGCAAAAGGCCCTTTATGAACATGGGATGGACCCTGATTTGAAAACGCAGCGACTGTACAAGACCTACGTAGCTGTGGCGCAATGGCAGCGTGCCATCCTTAGTCTGGTGGAGGTTGGAGGCTGAAATCTCCTGAGCTCTGTTCTAGTTCTGCCTAAAATTGAAAACCTATCGAAAGCTGGCAAAGATGCGACAATTCTGATGCATAGACCGCCAAACCGCAATTGGGTCCGACAATGAAACAAACAAAGTTTTGGCGGAGACCCCCAATTTGCTCACTAAAAATGAAACCAAACAAATGGAGGAGACCCCAATCTCCCCCCCCCCCATGGCTAAGCAGGCCAGGCGCACTGCCATGCTGGCTTGGTACCGCCAGCGCTCGCGGAACAAGGAAGAAGATGCGCTCGTGCGAGCGAAAGACTTCCTTCGCATACTTTTCTGCATGTTGGCATCTGTAGAGACAAGAACTGGAAGCAGTCCGAAACTGAATATTTCCATCAGAACCAGAACTGTATCTAGGCGAGCACCTCTAGAGTGAGGCAAGAGTCGAGTGGGTCGGGTGTGGTCTGTGAATGTGCTGAAGCAGCTTCTGTGTTCTGCCATGTCGTGTCTTGTTGACTTGCGCTTGTCTGTTTCTGCAGAAAAGCCTGGCCAACTAGTTCAACTAACAATGAGGCCCCTAGAGTCGAAACACAAAGTGAAAAGGGGAACTATGTAGGCCCTGTAGGCGTTTCCAAACATGAGGGAGCTGTAGAAATTGTTGGCTTCCTCTTGGCCTCCCTTCATTTACCATCCAAACACTGTGTCTCCGATTTCCCTTTTGTCATGTGCAATGCCTGGCGCGGCGGTGGTCACGCGGCATGTGGCTGCTGTTGGTGGAAACAATGAACCATGGGGGACGAGTAAAGTGCCCCCAAGGGACATGTGCCCTCCATTCACTCCTTACCCCATGCAGTGGATGAACAAATCCTGCATCACCAGCTGGTAGGTGGCTTTTACCAGGATGCGGTGTTAACCATCCCAGCTCGTGTGGGAATTTGTCCATCCACAATAGGGTCACGAGAGAAGCCTGTGAATTTCAGTCTATCTCGGGGTAGTCCAGGAAGAGGAACTTAGTCACCCTTCAAGGGTTTCTGGCAAGGGGTTCCAGCCCCCCTCGACAAGGGAGGTGGGTGGGTCCCCAATTCCATGTTTCCAGTCCCTGCAGAAGGGAACATGTCGATTAAATTCGAAATCCCCCCACCCGTTCCTGGCTGCGCACCCACCCTCACCACTCTCACCACTCTTACCACTGGCCGCTCTCGAGTTCTGGCTGACGTCCAACCTCACCAAGTCGATGCAGGGCGAGCTGGGCCGCGGCACGAAAAAGCCGGTTCCACAGCGCAGTCTCCAGAACAAAATTGCCGCCCCACCCTTCTCCACGGGTAGACCCGAAGGTAGCAGCGACCCAGCGCCAAAGAGGAATCTGGGGGTAGCGAAACGACTTTCCAAAAGGGAAAGGCTTCGTCTCTGAATAGGTGCCTCTGAGCTGGGGTCGTCTCCCAAACCAGGACAGCTGGAAAAATGAGATACTGTAGAGCGCTTCTCTCGCTGATTCTGACTGATTGGATAGGGCGGGTCGAGGGCAGTGGAACCTTTAAAATGCCCAAAGAATGCGGGCTCATTTCGGGTAGCCAAGTGCTTCCATAAACTCCTGGTCGATTCATAGGCGGCCGGCCAAAAAGAGAATCTGTTACTTGGAAAACACGCCCCCAAAACTCCGGCAGTTTGACTCTCTTCTTGAAAGGATTGGCCAAAGAAAGTGTTAACATGTCCATTTATTTCCCCCTACAATGCTTCCAAAAACTGAATATAGAACATGGTTTTGAGTTGGTTAGGAAAACGAGGAGTCCAACCTTTGTGTTGTTCCGTTGACGTCTTCAGGAAGTCGCCTTCACATTGCGCGCGAGGTTGTTCTTGCTTCTGGCGTGTCTCACTGTCACAGAACTGTACACTTGAGCTGCTTGCTTCAACAACAAGCAGCAACTTTCTCCTCCAGATGTTAGGTTGACATGAATACTGTTTATCCAGTTTGAAAACAAACATGGACGTGGCAGCTACTGGCATTTTCAAAAGAACTGGGTCGCTCATGTCACCATGCATCATTGTTGCAAAGAGGGTAATCTGTTGGGATCCCCCAAAGTTAAAAAAGGCAGATCTGGAGGAGCAAGGCAACACCGTACTTCACATTGCCTCCAGTTTCGAGGTCAAATTGGTCTGGCAACCGATCGCCCCATGTTAGAGCGTTCGAAGGCCAGGCGGTCAATCAATGAAAAATGGGAAGAAGCTCCCAGTTGCAAGCAGCGACTCGAAAAGGTCGAATGCATTCATTCCTGGGGGCCAAAAAAGATTTCAGTGAGTCCCGAACCCACCTGACAAAAGGAGACAATGGTTGTATGCCCGAATAGGGGGGGCCAACAAATGTTGGCGTTCTTGTTGACTTCCTTAAGAATTTCCATGCCAATCCTAAAAAGGGTGCCCCCTAAAAAGCACACGCCCAACAAGGCGCCACTTTCTTGTAACTGGGACATCGCGCGCGAGCCATCTCGCGCGCTCTGTGACGCTCCGACTCGGCCGTGCCGACTTCAGATCGCCCTGCAGTGGCGAGGCTGGGTCTGGGGATGGGGGGGAGAGAGGGAGGGGAGGGGGGGCGAGGGTCCGAGAGAGCGGGGGGGCCACAACTTTCTCACTTTCAATGAAATTCTGTTCGGCGCCTCGTGTCGCAGAGAAGGGGCCCCAAAACCAAGTTGTTCCGAACCATGCGTCTGGGAATTGGCTCTATCTCAGAGCGCACATTCCATGCACATTGTCGATTCAAACAAACAATACAACATAGTTCACAAACAAGAACCCACTGGAAAATCTGGGCGCTCTGAGATTGCCATGTAGAAAGGGTGCTCCAGCCAGCCACCCCACATGTAGGGACATGATACTCCATGGTAGACACTACGTACTTCGGTGTTCGGCCAAGTAAGTGGTTGGAAGCGTGCGTCAGAATCCGCTTTCAAGTGGATTAACCTCATTCACGATAAGTATAAGTGCGTTATATTTACTGCGGACAAAGTACTATGGTGTTCGACCAGTTGCTAGGTTATATCATGGTTGTAAGGGGACTAACCCCATTACCTCAGTTTTAACCATGATTAGAGCCTACTTAATGAGTGGGTTGAACATCCAAGTACACTCGTCGTCATGTTGGGGCCGAATTGCTTGGGTGTTGGTGACAACTGATAACCTGCTATAACCCACTTGCAAGTGCGTTCACCGCATTTAATTTAGGAGACTTGCAAATCACGTTGCAATCAAGATTGCTACCCACTAACTTGGACGAACACCCAAGTAAGGCATAGTTGTTCGGAGGTTGCAGTGGCCTTCGCATTGGAGTTAGGCAACAAGCAGGCATGCACCCCGAACCGCACGCTCGAAAAAAGATTGAAGGAGCTGATGTTCAAGGTGCACCTCCCACTGACTTCATGTACTTGAGTAGGTAACGAAATACACCAAGGGAACCACCCTTCAAACAACAAAGGACAATGGACAAGGATTACCGACTGTTTGCCTGGGATCCACTCAGCCTGCAACTAGCACATTGCCACAGTAGCAACCCCCATGTCGTCCCAATAGACCAGGTGATGCTTCAAACCCTTTAAAAAGGAAACACACATAGCCCGCCTGAAAACTCGGACCGAGCGGCTGTAAGGCACGTTGCACCCTCTGAAGCTCTTGCAACCTCAGCTCAACACAGCTCAGCAAAACTTGAGAGCAGCGCCAAAGATCTCTTTAGTGTTAGTTCTGCCAACATGGATATAACTGCATGCTAAAATGGCCGACGGTTTTTTGCGCTTCCCAAGTGGTCCGCAGAAACCAGACGCAAAGAGCACCCCCAACCCCAACCTGTGAGCAGTTTGGTCTTACCTGGAGCACCGTTGAGCCCTAGGTGGGAAGTCTTTTGCGAGATGAATCCCTGCAGTCTGACACCTGATGCTCCGCTTACTCCGATTGCCCTGCTTGCCCTTCCGGCCATACACCCCAAAGTCACTGCCGCTGAGTCCTTCATATTTGTTCCGGATTGATAAACACAACCGCGCATTGTCACATTCGGGAACTTTGTGGAAAGTTTCCAGCAAACCCTGGAGGTATTGTGGCCCGAACCCCTTTTCTGGTATTCGGATCCCCCAGCAGTCAATGCTAGGCATCTGCAATCGGGACGAATAGGCCCAGCTGGTATCCCCGACGTCACAAAGACGGTTCCTCCATAGACTGGCCTTTGGCAACTGGAATGCCTTTGTCTCCCTCGCGCCTTTGTGGGTGTTCTTGGGGGTTCAGAGATCTTAGACCCAGCACCGCCCCAAGGGTTAGGGCTCTTATCAAGCCAAGGTTTTGCCTCTTGTCTGGGGGGCTTTGGGTCAGATCCTGCCTTGCCAAGCGCCGTGATAATTGAAGAGAAATATGAGGGGACCCTTAGAACTCCCCTATGCCAAATGGGTGTGGTAGAGGGGGAAGATGCAAAATACAACTTGTTGAAAAGATGAACAGATCTGTTTTTTGCCTTCATAGCAAGCAAGGCCTGACACCGGAGAAGATTCTGGGTCCTTCCTGTGGCCTTTTCCTGGTAAGCAAGCGTCAATGAATGGCCAATACTTGATCACGCGGAACCCCAAAAAATGGTCGGTGGACGTGAATCAGCCCCATGAAGTAACCCGGACAAATTCATCGCACCAGTTTTTGCAGTCCAGTTCGGGTTGCTCGAAAAGTTCCTTCAAACCTAAATTGGGAGCCGGCACCGCCGTTTATTGAAATCAACAGAAGCCTTGGCATATCAAACAAAAGCTGATTCGGAAACCCATCCCTTGGCTCCCCCCCAAGGTTCAACCCTAATTAAAAGCATGGTAGATCCAATTTGGATGATGACACATCTTTAAGCAAATGCAATGGTGGTCCTATTAACCCCCATCGTTTCAATGGTGTATTGAGCCCCAGGGTCACTATCCGACATTCGATTCACTCAGATTTGGGGGGGTTCTTTTTGTTGAGGGGTTTTCCGTTTTTTAGTTGTTTTAAAGGGAAACCCAAGGAACTTGCGGCCCGGTCCGATTCCTAAACTTGCTCCAAGTTGGTAAGGTTCGCAAAGGTTCCAACGCAATCACCTTATCATTGATCTCTCTTATTCGCACTATATAGTGTTCACCTTGCCGTCTTGCCTGCGGCCACTTTTTTAGCCTAGCCCTCCAGCGCTTTACCTTATATATCATTGACATTTGGCTAAGGTAGACATTCAAGAAAAACACGGACAGGATGAGGTTGTGAAAACAGCTAAGGTAGAAATACAACAGGGCCTCGAGCCTTATCAAGCCAAGGCTTCGAAACGGTTGAACAGAAACAAAGGTCTATTGCTATCACGAGTGTTGCTCTCCTTTTGAAAGCTCCATTTTGAATTACTCTCCTTTTCAGAGGGTTCCTGTTGAAAGGATCTCCTTTTGAAAGAGGTCTCCTGTTGAAAGAGTCTCCTATTGAAAGGGTCTCTTGTCAGCGATTGACTCTCCGCAAATGCACTTGTGTTTGCCCCCGCCAGCAAGGCTGGACGTGATGTTCTTAAAATAGCTCTCCTTCGTGCCCTCGGGCAATTCATCTCGTTGCATGGCAAACCTCGCCTTGTCCATGTGGCTAACAAAAGGCTCGCCACCCGACATGTCGTAAACCTTGTTCCGGTTATTCCCCCGCTTCTCAGCAGTCTTCTTCATTGGCACGGCTGTCTCCCCTTGTGGCTGCTCAGGCTCCCCTTTTCTAGCACGAAGGAGCAACAAAGGACCAAACCTGGAGATTCCAATGCCGAGGAATGCCTAGGCGTTCTGGTTCTCAAGGCGTTTTAGGCGTTCTAGGCGTTTTGCGTATTTTTGCTTCTTCTTTTTTTTTTCCGGGCGCTTGCCCATTTTTGGCAGGCGTTTTGCGGAAATTTGCGGGCGTTTCCTGTTTCAAGGCGTTTGCGGATTTTGCGGCAATTTGCTGGCGTTTGTGTCCAAAACTGGGTCAATGCCGAGTACTACTAGGAATTCGCTGACGTTTGAATCTCCAGGAAAAACGAAAGATAAGCTCAAAATGAGGTCTGTCAAAAGGAAGGTTGAAAATCAGGTGAAAGCGAAAGGAAGTTTCAAAATCAAGATTGGCAGAGGAAGGTTCAAAGCCCGAACCTTAGGTTTTTTCCTGTGCTTGATAAGGTTAAAAAGCAGAGAGTGCTGCCCTCAAATATTTTCAACCTTATCCACTCAACCCCCTGTGTTTTTATAAGGTTGAAACATCAAAGCCAAGTGAGCCCAATAAAAAAAGAGTAAGGTTAAATAGTGACGCGCGTTTCACCTACTATGCGCTCAGCAGGGAATGAGACATGGAATGAACAAAAAACATCCCTTGCGGTGTCCTTTAAGGGGAATGGTGGGTTCATTCCAACTCATTCCCTACCTATCGCACCAGCAAGAAAGTTGAAGTATCGACGTCCTTTCAAGGGAGCCATTCCTGGATTCCTGGGTTCGTTCCAACCCTACCTATCCTAGGTCCTCCAGTAGAGAGGTTAGAATAAGGGTGCCCGTTGTGTTTCTTCTTTTTTCTGTAGTCTATTTTAGTGGGGGAACCCTCCCCCAAAAATGGGTAAACGGGCACTACTGGGGGATTTAGTGTGGATGGACGAAATCCTGCACCACCTAGGAAAGCCTGGAATAATAACTCCCCTGTAAATTCCAACAACCACTTGTTTCCTGTTGTTTCAAAGTGGTGCACGATTTTGTCCATCCACAGTAGTATCGCGCGAGGTAAAAGACGCACCGATTCGATCCAAGGAGCAGTGGCACGAGCTGCAGCCGGAGGTCCTCCTTGAGCTCCGAGTTGCAGTCCTTGACTTTCCTCGGCACGGACCCAGTGGATGGGTGGATCGTCCCGGGGCCCCCCTTAAAACGCACAAAACCAAAGGGTGCCCCACCATGGTGGAAAAAAAACTTTGCTTGGTTTGAATGGGCAACCAACAGGAAACTGCCAAACGTTGAGGTTGGGAACAAGGAATTTCCTGCAACTTACTGCAATTGATCAGGGGCCTGTGCTGGGATGGGGTAGGTGCACTGGCAATATGGTCCGACGGGCAAACAGCTCCTTTGGGCCCGTCTCAAAATGAGCCCTGTTTGAATGCTTTACAAGGGAACTCAAAAGGAAAGCAACCACAAGGGCCGAATTTCATCAGGGATTTGCTATGGTGATTCACTGCCATATGGTTCATGTGGGTTGTGGGCCATAATGTCCTTAAAAGCCATTATCATGGTTGTGCAAATTCCCTATTATAGGGGGTGGTTACAGAAAGGTAAGGGGGGTTGCGGGTAACAGAGAACCAATTGTTCAAGTCAAGTCATGATAATAGGAAAATAGTGTTGTGGGACAAAAAAGGGGGTACCCTCAAAAAGACGAGGCACCCTTATAGTAATTATGTGTAACCTCTAAGCAGATCTGGTAGCATGAGTCATGGTGGTTTCATGAAAGACGAGCCCTTCTCATGGAATATGTTGGGATTGCGGGAATAAAGCGGAAGCCTTGAGTTCCTCCCGTGAATTGGCAGGGAGATGCAGGGAGTATCTGATTTTGAGATGCTGAAACTCAGTTGTTTTTGACAGTTGGTCGTGGATGTTTCTATTTTGCTTAAGAACAAGTCGTTGTTAACCGTTCTTTCAGTTGGCTTGCCTTTGGTCTAATCTCTGAACAGATGTCGTCCACGCATGGCGATGGCATTTTTGTTGGCTTGCCCTGTTTGTTCAATAAGATAGCCTCACAACCCTGTGCCCAAGGCATCAACGACGTTGAGAACGCCTTAGTTAGTGTGCTGTCCTTGAATAGAAGCCATCAACGCATAAGGAACCCTTGCTGTGACACCGTTTAGTCGTTGATTCCATCAAACTATGACTACTACCAAATATCACCAAGGGTATCGCGGGAAGTGGCAGCCTCAACCCCAGTAACCCCAAAAGTGGTCCCCTTTGCATGCAACAACAACACGTATTGTATGTCTGCAGCCTGTGTCTCCGGCGCCGTTCAAAAGTAAACAAAACCCGTCATGCCTGGTCTGAACCAGTGCTTGCATTTACCCCTACTGTAGGTAACCAGGGGAGACTGTCATGTACAACCTAGTGTGGCAAGTCCTGGTTTCCCACTCCAGCGGATCCCAGTTACCCCACAGCAAGTTGGCCTTTCGCCGATGCCCATATGTTTAAAAGGGTGGTTCCCTAGGCTACAAAGACGGAATCATAGGGTACGGGCACTACAAGGGTAGCTGGAAGCGCGCGAGTCATCCGTCCAAGCCTCTGCACTTCCGCCGCCAGACACGACACTTGCAGAGACGCCTTGGATCACAAGAAAACAACCTCACGTAACAGCAATGCCCCTGAACCGCTAGAGAAAGCCTGCCTACTGAGCCGACCGAAACTTCTTGTACTTCTTCACTGCGGCTGCGGCAAAGAGGATGCCCACAGCCTCGCCTAAAGGGAGCCTGTCCGTGACTAGTGTGAAAACCGAACTGCCCAGTGACACGGGCGAAAAAATAGAACGCTGAACCCTCGAAGGTTCGATCATTGTTGGCGGGGAAGGGAGAAGGGGCACCACTGAACAACCGAGAAGTGCTGACTCTGCACCAAAGAAGCAGGAAATAAATGATGTACCCTTGTCATCTTGACAAATGTGGGGATCCGGATGTTGGCCCCAATGATGCATTTGCCTTGGACAGCCTGGCCTTCCAAAATTATGGTTGCTTCTAAATACAAACGCTAGGTGACCCGGCAACCTCCCAAAAACGTCCGGGACTTCAAAACACTGGTTTCCCTTCCCTTTAACGCCCATTCAGAGTCTGAAAGTTGAAATTGGTGGTTCACAAGGCAACCGCCCTCATTGCGCTCCAGACTCCCTAACCTCGTTTGCCCCATTCTAACTAAATAGCGTCCTTTTGGAGAGCATATGGGACCATCATGCTTTGGTGCTTTGGCGAAGAGATCGGACCACTGTGCTTCGGTGAAGAGATCGGACCGGTTTGAAGCTCTTTGGTTTCCCCCCCATACTTTGGACCCCGTGGCCTGCAACCCACTCGGACTATTCCGCGGTCTATGACGAGCTTTGGGAAATTCAGCCTGGGACCCTGAAGAATTCTTCAAAGGGCCGCACATGCCCAAACCTATGGGATATCTGGAGTAAGGCAGGCGCCCCACATTCAAGCCACGAAGAAGATCCAACATGTACCAGCCCAAAAGACCTTCCAAAGTCAGTTGCAAGGGCATTGACAAAAGGTGACATTAAAGAGCACCTTGTAAGGACGGTTTGGCTTCTCTTCCGAAAAGGGACTTGCAACCAACTCATCATAGGACTTCCCGCTTTTAGGCCCCCTTGCAAAGTCCGGTGTGCTTCATGTTGCAGAAACAACTCCTCCATATATAGCCCTGGGTCAAAACCCTGTACCCCTGGTGAACGTCAAAGTGGCAAATGGATGTTCATCCACCCCAACATGGAGCCATAGGTTATGCCCCATGGTTATATCTAGTGAAACTTGAACAGCAAGCTGATTTCAAAGACATCCCAGCAACCCTCCGCCCCCTCCTGCGGCTCTCTACAGTCAGAGGCAGGTTCCCCAAATTAACCTTGAGACCTCAAGCACTTGCAGCAAACCTGGGCGACACGAGTTTTGGAGTCTCCATGACCCTTTAAAAATGGGTCCATGACCCCTGTATTGTGGGTACTGACCCCCATTGTTAAAGGGTCATGGAGACTCCAGGTAGCTTGGAAAAAACCAACTACTAGGTCCTCCAGTAGAAAGGGCACTTAGCTGGACCAAGATTAGTTTTGGAGAAGCCCCCCCGTTCTTCGGACCCCACTCCGCCGGTCTGCGAGCCGAGGGGCCCAGCGTTCCTGGACGCTCCCCAGCTGCCTCACCAGCTCCGCACTGGCGCCGGCCGCCTCCAAGCTACTCACCGTCCTGGGCGAGAGCGGGCCCCAAGGAGGGGTCGCAGCGGGGGAGGGGGGGGGGAGGGAGGGGGGAGGGGGAGGGGTGGTTTGAGAGCTTGCTACTTTGCTAGAGGACAATATTATTGTTTCTTTCTTGGTCTACTTGTACCTTCATGGAAATATTTCTATTCAAGAACCCTGACCATCTACCTGTGGGAGTAGTTGGGTCTTTTTTGAGGGTACTTGTCTTTTGAAAGGGACACCAACAGGCAAACCGACATCAGAACATTTCCAGGCCGTTGTGGTTTCCTTGGGAAATCCCGCCTGGGCGATTCCAAAAGCCTGTCGCGGGCCGACCTTTCCCTGGCCCAAATCTGTGTTCTTCGTTTATTGGGAACAACACCTTCTCAGACTATCCACATACATATGTATGTGTATATATATATATATATATATGCTCACCCCCCCCCCCAGGGCCTACCTTTCCACTTCAAAATGTACAAAACCCTCTTATTTTTAAAGACAGGGGGTGTGAGCATATATACGCAAGAAGTGTGCTGTTGCTGCATATTTTTTGTGGGTGACAAGTCATGTTGAGTAACAACAGCAAAGAGTTTATAAACTTACAAGACAGTTTATAAACCATGTCAAGGGTTTGACGGTTTCCCTGCAACAAGGGCAGGGGGGGGGTCAGAACTCTTTACTGGGGGGGTACTGAGAAGTCTTTACAAAGTTGGCTGAGTCACACCTCACTGCTAAGACTTCCAACCAACCACCCCCCCCCCCCCTCCCAAAATTTCCAACCACCCCCCCCCCCTCCTTCAACGATACCATGAACACTTCGTAGGGTGTTGTTGCCTTGATGCGGGAAACTCGTCAAACACTCAATAAGGTTTATAAACTTTCCTGAAAGTTTATAAACCTTCTGTAGGCTTATTGCGTAGCAAGTGGAGACTGTTGTTTGGGAAAAAAAGGACACTCATTTGAGGCCTTGTTTGATGTGGTTTGGGCATGTGGTCCTAAAAGGTTGATGATTGTGTGTGGGTGTGTCATCACTGCTGCACTGTTATATCAAAGGCTGTCCATTCGGTCCAAGGGAACACAATCTGAGCAACTGCTGCAAAACACTCTGTTTTACAGCATTTTGTTGGATCTCTAATCCCTTGAAATGTCCAATTTGAAACACCTGAAACCTAGAATCTGGAGATCAGAATCCTTGAGATGTCTAATGTTGGATTCTCCAAGCCTCATAATTTGGAGCCTGGAGTACTCCAACACGAATTGAATTGGAATGTTGAAGGGGGCAAAATGTTGTTTGGGAAATGAACAATCTTCGGCCCAAGGGAACACAATCTGAGCAATTTCTTCAAAACACTTTGTTTTACAGTTTTTTGTTGGACCTGCAATCCCTTGAAATGTCCATGGTGAAGCACCTGAAACCTAGAATCTGGAGATCAGAATCCTCGAGATGTCTAGTGTTGGATTCTCCAAGCCTGATATTTTGGAGCTGGGAGTCCTCCAACATTTTTAAATGTAGATTCCTTTCCAAATATACTGCGAATTGAATTGGAATGTTGAAGGGAAAACTGTTGTTTGGGGAAAACAACCTTCGGTCCAAGGGAACACAATCTGAGCAACTGCTGCAAAACACTGTGTTTTACAGCATTTTGTTGGATCCCTAATCCCTTGAAATGTCCAATTTGAAACACCTGAAACCTAGAATCTGGAGATCAGAATCCTTGAGATGTCTAATGTTGGATTCTCCAAGCCTCATAATTTGGAGCCTGGAGTCCAACATATCCAAGTACACATTCCTTTCCAAGTACGATTTTGATCCGAATTGAATTTGCATATTGAATAGAATTTAGTAAGCACATAGTTCACCACCATTCATAATTCACCATAATGTCTATAGTAGATCAGAATTTGAACAGGAATACCTTTCCAAATAAGGAAAATATGATTGCAGTAGAATCCAAATATACTTTAATGCAGACAGAATTCAATTAGCTTTTGAACATAATAATTTAATCAAGAATCCATCCCCAAATACAGCTTGAATTGGAATATAGCTTATTCTGGAAAGAAATCACTTGGCCTTTGCAATCAAATTTTAATAGTACCTCATTCCCAAATATGATTTAGCTTAAATGTGGCTAAACAAATAAAGGCCACATATCCCCAGACTCCCAAACTTGGTCTGGAGATGTGTTTGGCATGTGCAGGTCTCAGAGCTTTCATTTTCAGGAGATTTTGTGCTTTTCGGTCTGTGCAGGTTGCAGAGCTCAAAGCTGCCAAAAACATCATTTTTTCAATGTTTTTCCCTGGTGTACTCAAAACCACTGTAAAAACCAGTGATTCAATCAAAGCCAGGCTCGAATCTGAAAACGGAATCCGTTTTCGCTTTGCTGCCTTTCAAGCCTCAAATAATCAGACATTTGCTGTCACATAGAAGGTAAAAAACAACAAAAACACTGTATTTTACAGTGTTTTCAGGCATCTGCAAGAAAGAGGCACACAGAGTAGAGTTGACACCTTCAACTAGAAGAGGGCAAAGGTAGGCCCTGGGGGGGGGGGTGACCATATATATATATATACATATATATATATATATATATATTTAGTCTACCCAAACATTAAACAAAAGGAGCCCCAAAATTCAGCACACGTGCCCCGCAAGGATCCAAGTACACTCGAAGGACGCACTTTTTTATTGGAGTTTCCGGATCAATGGGGTTCACATGTAAGTCAGCGGGTTGCTTAGACCCCGGTGTCGCGCGGCCGGGCGTCGTTTTGATCTTCCCCAGGTCTTTGAGCACCGCGGTCAGCGAGCTCAGCGTGGTGTCCGCCTGGTCCTCTGAAGGTGTCACGAAGCTCAGCCTGGCGAGGCTGGCGTCGACCTAGCAAACATCTGGGGGTACCTTCCATTTCCATTTCCAGGGATCCTTCTTTCTAGAAAACCTCCGGAAACCGTGGGAAAACGGAAAACGGATGCGGTTTTGGAAAGAAGGATGGTTGAACCGAATGGGGAATCAAGCCCTAGAAAACATCTGCTGGGTAAATTGTAACTGTAAACCCAGGTTTCAGCTACGCGCCCTTTTTCTTGAACACAAACGGCTTCCAGGTATTCCTAGACTCCTCCCAGTGCCTTGCCGCCAGGCTCGCACTGCTACAAAATGCTGCCCTCTTTTCGGGCTAAGGTCAAAACGTCGCCCCTTTTCGGGGCTAGCTCAAGCCGCGCTGAACCTCTCCTCTCCTGCAATTCGCGCAGGGCTGATAGGTCACTCCCCGCCCAGCGCACGTCTCCAGCACATGCCACAGGCCATCTCCTGTGATGTGCACTGCTCCCGGATGAACGAAGAGCAGCCGCCTGAAGTCCGGTGTCGTGCACACCGGGCATGGCAGGGTCTCCATGACCCGAGTTGCCCTCCTCAAACCATAGCAATTCTCGCGGGCATGGTACTTCTCGCCCGTCATGGTGTAGAACACGCTAGGCTCCACCGGGATTCCGTCGTCCTCCGACTCAGGCTCGGGAATGTCTTGGTGACCACTCCCTGCGGCCCTCGATGCTGGGTTGACGTCAGCACCGGCTCCGCGCGATCCTGCCTGGGGTTCCGACCAAGGCCGTAGGTCCCTGCCAGGATCTGTCGCCTGTTTGCCCGTTCCTTTGTGGTAGCCCTTGCTGTAGCCCTTGCTGTAGCCCTTGCTGTAGCCCTTGGTGACCGCGATCCAGTCCACATTCCGTGCCGCGGTTCCCCTCGGCTCCACAGGCGTCTTTCCAATTCCCTTCGCCATAGATGGTGCCGCCGTCGTCCTCTTGGCTGTAGCCCCCAACTCGCCTGAGCCAGTCCCGGCACCAGATGAGGACCTCAACGGATCCTGCTCAGATCCCACATTCAATCTCGGCGTAGAAGGCCGTCTTGCCGTAGGGCTCGGCTCATCCACCACCGAAGAGGTAGGCCTCGGGGTAGTCCTCCTTGTGGATGACCCTCTAGCCGTTGACGATGACGCAGCCACCTCCTCTGTCTCTTCGACTTTCTCCACTCGCATGCTCTGGATCCTCGGTCCACCCCATCGCTCTTGTACCTTTGCCGCCAGCAACTCTAGCAGCTTCATGACCGCGACCGTGAACACCGCCACCAGCATGCCGAAGACCTTCAAGTGGTCGTAGTCCCCACTACCATCCTTCTTCTCAGGATTCTCCTCCATGGCTGCCGCACCTTGAACTTGCATGCAGCAGCCCAACACCGCCACCAGCCCTCGATACTTGTTCACCTCCAGTCTCACCAGAGCTGACTTCTCAATGTCCTCCTCACTCTCCCCTTTCGCCTTCATGCCCATCAACTTCATGAGCTCCTTCAGCTTTGCCCCTGTCAAGGCCTTGGTGCCCACGTCGGCGATCATCTCGACTCCAGGCAAATGCCGAACTCGCCATTCATCCGCTTGGATCCTCCACCGAAGGTGAAAGGCACGTAGGCGCAGATGACGTGTGCGCCAAGCTCCCGTGCTTTCTGCACACAGCTGAATCGCTGCCTGATTGTCACCGAAGAGGTACCGCATGTAGTTCGCGCCCTCCTCAATCTCGTTGATGAGAACGTCTACCGCGTCCCCCATCACAACGCCTTCGATCATCTCCATGAGCTCGCACTCGGCTGTACTCAGCGCCGGAAATCCTTGTCTGCTGGACTTCCAAGCGATCACCGAGTTCTGCCACTTCACCATCACGCAACCATGCGACAGAGCTCCTCCTGGCGCGAAGCTCGAGTCCGTGTAGACCTGCAAACCTGCCCGATCAGCTCCGTCCCAACCCACGCCGGTGTCCGGGGTGAATGTGAGTCCCACCGCCGATGTCCCGTTGAGGAACTTGAACGCCTGGAGGCCCACCTTCTGCACCCACCTTGGCGCTCGGGTCACGTGGCTTGCCAGCCTGGAAGTCACGAACGCCAGGTCCGGTCTTGTTCTTGTGACCACCCATAGCATCTCCGGCTACCTTCTGAGCCGCTTGCACTTCCTCCGCCGTGATTTCGCTCTCTACCTCCGGCTCGGCCATATCCTTGGACATTGGGATTGCCGACTTTCCCGTGATGCCGTTCCGCTCCACGAGGTCCTTGATGTAGTTCTCCTGAGTGAGGAGGTAGGTGCCGTCCTTCTCGAGCCACAGCTCCATCCCACAAAACCTCACTCCCGCTTCACTTCCGACCTCCTCCGGAGCCGACACTTCCCACACTGACTTTATCTGGCCACACAGGCTTTTCCTCACGGAATCGCTGGCCAGTATCAGCATGTCGTCCACGTACACGACAACCAGGCCCTTCATGACCTCCGTGCCATTCTCCTCGTAGATGACCTTCCACAAGTTGGGTTCAGACTCCAGCTGCCGCAACTTCAGCCATCCATCATCCCACTTCCATCGCCACTTCTCCATCGTGTCGTCCCGGTAGTCCGACCACAGCCTCGGCGATTGCCTAAGTCCATATAGTGCTCGCTCCACTTTCCACATCTCGCCGGGCTTGACCAATCCCAAACGAACCAGCAGCTGCGGGGGCTTCATCACAATGACGACCTCCCCTTCGTCATCAGCCGCTGCCAGCGGGGCATTCAGGAAAGCACACTTCACATCCAGTGTCGTAGCCCCCCATGATCTGACCGCCGCCGTCTTCACCGCCAGTCTCATCGCAACGCTGTCGCTGCCTCCGGCATACAATTGCTGCTGATCATGGCTGTCTCCATAGTTTCCGCACACCACCAGCCGGCACTTCTTCCGGGCCTCCAGACCCGGCTTCAAGGTGTACACCGCCTTTCCCGGCAGCACTTGCACCTTCTTGTCCGAGTTCACCAGCCTCTTGGCCTCCTCCGGCGATAGTCTCGTCAACGCCTTCTTTTCCAGCATGAGCGAATCCATCTCCTTCACGATGGCTTCCTTCCACTCAACGAAGTTCTCTTCCACCTCCCGACCCGATACAATCTTGGTCTGCAGCACTTCCTGGTGCAGCTTCGCCTCCGGGGTCTCATCTCTGACTGTCTGCTCCTCTGCCCGCAAACTCTGGATACTCTTGACGATGATATCCACGACCTCAGGCTCGTCCTTGAGCAGGTTCCTTTCCTCCTCTTCTGCAAGCTGTGCCAGCCTTCTCACATACTTCAGCGCTCCATCCTCCTCTAACTTCTCCCTTGGAGTCTTCTCTCTCACCCTTCTCCTCAGCTCATATGGCTCCTCATCTTGCGGGGGCTTTTCTGCTCCTCTCTCAACCAACCTCCAGTCTGGCCCTTCCGTTGGCATCGGAGTCCACTTGTGCAGCACATACGCCGCTGTTTGGATGGATCCATCATCCTTCACGACCGCATGCCCACTTGGCACCTCCGCGATCGGGGTCATGTAGTAGGCCTTCTCGTTCAATGGATCCCACTCTTTTCTCTTCCACGTTCTCTTCTTCACCAACACCTCCTGACCAAATCTCGGCATATCGGCAGGCTTCCCAAGACGGATCCTCTTCTCCTTCTCGACTGCATATCTCGCCGCACATGGCCAGTATTCTCCTCCCATCTCAGCAGAGTGGAGTAGACGTCGGGTCCGATCCTTCAGCCCCCTGATTGCCCTTTCCGCACGGCCATTCTGGCGGTAGTCATCGCCTGCAGTTGATGTCTTGGCGATGTCTCTTGCCAAGCACCAGCTCGCCAACACCTTATTCTTGAACTCGCGCCCGCAGTCCGAGTGAAGTCGGGCTAGAGGAAGATTCTCCCGTCTTAACTCGAGGTACATCTGCTGGATCGCCTCCAAAACCTCTCGCGAGCTCTTGCTCACCAAAGGTATCATGAACCACAGCGTCTTCACTGGTAGTGGTGGAAGGCCTTCTTCGTCTTCTCCTCCCTCCTCTTCTTCTTCAGCTTCAGCCTTCATCTGGGCGTCCTCCAACTCCTTGGCCTCATCTTCCAGCTCAAAGTCCCAATCTCCTGCTTCCAGAGGTGGCAACTCCGGCTCGTACTCCTCTTCTTCTATCACCAATTCTGGTCGAGGCGGTGGGTCAGGCGCTCCTTTGATCATGAAGATTGTTCTTCCTGCCCATCTTGAATCATCCTCGAACAGTCGCTCGCCAGCTCCTGCAGTTCTCCAATCATCAGTCACCGTCTCATACGCACCTCCTTTGGCCTTTCTCGCGACCGTGCGCTTCACAATCCGCCAGCTGGACTAAAGGGGAACCGGACAACTCTTCAGCCTCCTCCGGGAAGAACGTCCCTTTTCGGTGGGACTTGTGCACCCTGATGACCATTCGCCCATCGATGCTCTTGGTCCAGTAGTCCGCCAGCCTCCCTTTCTCCTCCTGGATCTCCCCCTCCTGGCCCTTGGTCCCCTTTTCGTAGAACAGGATGGTCCTCAGGTTGCGGGTCTTGTCCAAGAGTCGATGAAGGTCTTCCTCTTCTAGGTTCGTCACCTCCACGCTTTCCAGAACCTCACCGGTGTCATTGTCCACGGTGACTCTCCACTTCACGCTCCTCCAGGGTGGTCCTCCTTTTCGGGTGGTTCGGTAAGATACCGCATTCTCATCAATCCTCTTCCACCTCCGCATGGCTTGCACCCGTTGAGGGACCTTCCAACTCCCCGGAGCCAATCCGTCGATCTCCTCGTCCCAAACCTCTTCCTTTCCACCACGAGGTAGGGTGTAGGCACCCATGAGGAAGTACCTACAGCTCTTGCCGTCGATGTCGTGCCCTCGACGCAGAGGTCCCGCCAAGTCCACAGACAAGATGTGTGCCTGGGGATGAGCAATGCGCCGATGTGCTCGTCCCTGTGCGGATGCTTCCTGGCATACACGACAGTCTCGCCTGTATGGCGTATGGCCGTTGGCCAAATGCTCGGCCCACGACAGCTTTCTCACTGCTGT